CTTCTTTTGCAAATTGCTTTTTCATGTTCTTTTCCATTTTTTCTATTGGGATAAGTATCTTTAAAAAAGATACTTAAATACTGCTGTGAAGGCCCTCTTTTAATGTCAAAAATTTTCATCAGTGTGGCCACCTGATGTCTGTTAGACTTTCAAAATCCTATGTAATAAAAGGCTAATATGCAAATTGACCGAACGGTGGAACAACTGGTCACTATGACACACACTGACCACCAGGGGGCAGACGTTCAATGCAGGAGCTTCCCTCTGGTGGTCAGTGCACTCCCACAGGGTGAGACCCGCTCAGCCAGAAGCTGGGCTCAGCGCTGGTGGTGGCGGGAGCCTCTACAGCAGGCGGACATCCCCCGAGGGGTCCTGGACTGTGAGAGGGTGCAGGCTGGGCAGAAGGACACCCCCGCCCAGTGTACAAATGTCATGCACCGGGCCTCTAGTAATAAATAAAATGAATGAGAATAAGAACTTTTATAAGTCTATATTATCTTAATATATGCCAGGCATTATGCTACATAAAACAGCACTATGAGATAGGTTCTTATAACAGTCCCATTGGACAGATGGGGAAACCAATTAACTGTGCAGGAGTGCTTAATTAATTTTCTCAAGGTTACATAGAGTGTGAGTGGCCATTCTGGGGTTGGTTGATTAACAAAACACATGGTAACCTAGAGTTTCTATGAATTACATAACACTTTAAAAAAACATATTTTTATTGATTTCAGAAAGGAAGGGAAAGGGAGAGATAGAAACATCATGATGAGAGAGAATCACTGGTAGGCTGCCTCCTGCACATCCCACATTGGGGATCGAGCTCGAAACCCAAGCATGTGCCCTAATCAGGAATCAAACTGTGACCTCCTAGTTCATAGGTCAATGCTCAACCACTGAGCCATGCCAGCCTGGTTCAATAACACTTTTTAATAAATTTATCTTTTGTTCATCACAAAAATATCTATATATATACTTGCAAACCTATCTTATATATAAATTCAAGTCATATAATTTTTTTCTCTCCACTCAACAACTCCTTGTAACCATCACATGCTCTCCCCCATTACTCCCATGAGTTACTGTTAAGAACCATGTTGGACCTTATATCTTCCAGGAAGGGGAACTGAGGCTCGGGGCGAGGCAAGACCTTGCTCTGGGTCACCTCAAGAGTTTATGGAACAGCCAGCACTGACACCTCGGGCTCAGGACACACAGCCCAGGTCAGCGTGTGACTTGGCCAGCCCCCTAATCTATTGCTTTGTTATCAGAGGGCGCAAACAGAGGATGCTGTGGTGGTACCAGAACAGACCTGCCGGATTCTCATGTTGCCAGCCTCTAGGGAAACCAAGCGGGCACAGACTCCCAGTCCTCTGGCCACACTGGCTGCTGGGCATTCCAGGACCCTGGCACGCTGCCAAGGTGAAAACAGAGCTGCAGGCTCCTGAGCCACATTCTGCCCCCTCTTGGTTTGCATCTCATTGCTGGGTTTGCAACATGCCTAATCTCTGCATGTCCAGACTCAGAGGAGCCAGCTGAGAGGGAGCATTGCCAGCAGCTTGGAGTCTTCCATGAGGCCCACCCACCACCCCTCCCCCAAGTCCCTCACTGGTCAAGCAGGGTCAGAGCAGCCTGCAGAAATGGTTTCTGGAGCTTCACCTGCTCAGGCCTTACAGTGCCTGCTGAGATAGACTCCATGAAGGACATAAGTCCATATTCTCTCTCTTCCTAAGTGGAAGGTCATTTGATCCTCCCACATCCCATTTCTCCCTCCCTGCCCCCATGGCCTTCCTTACAGACACAGAAAGGAGTTCTAATGCACGTTGGTCATGCAAGTGAGGCTTGCTCCTGGTTCTCTAGGCAACTGGACTCCTCTAAGAATGGAGAGAACGTAATTGTTCAGGCAGTCAGTCAATAGGTGTCAAATGATTCCTATGCAACCCATCACGTTTCCCTTTTTGCTTTAGCTGCTAGGAGGCTCAGAGCTGACTGACAAGCTAGCTCACTATCTTAAAACAGATTCGTGGTACAATTGGCATCACTCTTTCTCCAGGAGGCCTCTGGTTATTCAACTGTTGAGTATGTATTTATGTTATAAATCATCCCAATTCTTTTATGTGATGAAGGTGGGCTGTAAATGAGAAATAAGACATGAAAGGAAGTGGCCTGTAGACCTCTCTACTTTGAGATACAAATGAATGCTTTCCTCAGAAGGGGATGGTTTTCCCGGGACCATGCAAGACTTAGAAAAATGTCTGTGAGCCTTGTTTCTTCTCTGTCTTTCTTTCCCTTCCTACCTACTTTTTCTCTGCATTTTCCTCTTTCCTCCTTCTTCCCCTCCATCTTTTATTCTCTCGCTATCACCTACTTTTCTGTCTTTTCCCTTCTTTCCTTTATCGTCTCTCTTCCCTCCATCCCTTGTCTCCTCTCTCCTCTTCCTGCTCACCCCTTGCCTCTGGGCAGCCGGATTAATGTTAATATTCCATACAAACCCAGAGTGCTTGGCTCTTTCCAAGGCCTTGCCCTTGCCTTTATCTCATTTATTCCCCGTGGCGATAACCTGGAAATTATGATCATTTCCATTTTACCAGGAAGACACCGAGGCCTAGAGAGTGTAAGTGATGTGCCCACGGTCATAGAGCTTATACTTTACAACTTATTATCAAAATCAGGCTCCAGGCCTCCTGAGTCTCATTCCATCACACTCTCCACTACACCTCACTGCCTCTCAATGCCAGCATCACCGACATGGCCTGGCAGAGAAGATTCAAAGCATGACCTTGAGAGTGGGTGCTTCCTTCAAGTTTATGCCCTAGCACTTGGCTTGTCTTTGGCTAGTTCTTCCCTGGTGCCAGGCACTTCAGTGGTGGGCAGAGGGCCTGCACCCTGCCCTTGGGGCACTTATAATCTCTTATGAGAAACAGATACTAATCAAATAATCAGGCTAATGAAAGACCATTCCAAGTGTGACAAGTGCCATGAGGAAAGGGAGATGGGGCTGGAGAGGGTATTGGGGGGGGGGGGGGGCGGGGTAGTGAGAGCTGAAGGATGGAGTAGGAGTTTCCAGGCATGTGCACGTGGAGGACACAGCAAGTTCACGGGCTCCATGGCAGGGTGGAGCATGGTCCCAAGCAGTCTGTTTCTAATATAGTGCCAGAGTGTGCAAATGATTGGCTTTTAAAAAAGCAAATCCAATCCAGGGGAGAGAATTCAGAGTCCCCCCCCCCCCCCCCGCCACCCACCCCCTCCTTTATGCTGTCCCTCATGCCCACCTTCCTGATCAGCTTTCTTCAGTGGAATTGCACAGCTCCCTTCAAACTCATCTGGGTCTAATACAGAAATGTCTGTGACAGAATCTAATATTTGCCATTTTCCAGATGAAGAAATCAGAGCACAGAGGTTAGATAACCTGCTGTCTTAGCTCAGCTGCCATAACAAACGCCACAGGCTGGGTGGCTTAAACATGACATTTAGTTCTCACAGTTCGGCAGGCTGGGAAGTCCAAGAGAAAGGTGCTGACTAATTCTGTGAACCCTCTTTCTCCTGGTTTGCCGATTGTTATCTTTCCACTGTCCTCACCTGCTGGAGAGAGCAAGCTCTGGTGTCTCCTCATCTTATAAGGGCACCAGCCCTATTGGACTAGGGCCCCACGCTTATGACGCTTATGACGTCATTTAACCAGAATCCCTTCCAGGCAGACCCTGCCTCTAAATACAGGCACATTGGGCCTTTGAGCATCAACATGTAAATTGGGAGGAGGGACATCCGGTCCATAACACCTGCCCAGGGGCACACAGCTAACCAGTGGGATTTGAACACAGGCTCCTAACTACCAGACCAATGGCCTCGGGATGCTTGTGTGTGAATGTTGCCATCCGAGAGAGAATGCTCCCCTGGGCAGGGTGTTCAGTGACCCCTTCCAAATCCACTGGGTCTTGTTCCCGCCTGGCAGCTGGACATGTGGGTTGCGGCCTGGACCCACCCCAGGTGATCCGGGTCATCCCGCGGAGGGTATGGCGTGGAGGAAAACCTGGCCTGAAACGTCACGCTTGAGTTTGGGGGGTTGTTTCCAATTTACTCCGAGGGGGCCCGGGCTCCAGTCAGTCCAGACTTCACCAGCAGTGGACTGCTTGCCCGTGGGCAAGTCACTTGACACCTGCCTGCCCCTAGGTTCCTGCCTCAGACGGGTGGCTGGGGTTCATCCATGGGCAGTGAGGTCGGCCCAGCGCCAAGCGCGGAGCCGCTGGCGGGAGGCAGGCGAGCTTGCAGACGCCGGGCCCCCACCCTGGGCCGCGCAGGTGGGGAAGGGGGCGTGCGTGCGGGGCGCGGCCCGCGAGTTGGGTGGCCGTGGCCGCCGCGGGGGCGCAGGAGGACGCCCCGCAGTCGGTCCGGGTCAGCGGCGGGGGGCCGGGAGGGCGCGCGCATTTCGCAGACCCGCTCCACCACCCGCAGGCCACCGGGCCCGGCCTCCCCGGCGCTATCACCCGCACCAGGCGCCCGCCCGCCGCGCCCCCGCCCGCCCGCTTGGGGGCAGAGCCCTCGGGAGGGGCTGGAATTCCTCCCAGCAGCCCCCCCACCCCGCCCCTCCCGGGCGCTCGCTTCCTCCCGCTCCCCGCGCGCCCCCCTCCCGGCCGCCAGCCAACTGCGTGCCCCCGGGGCCGGCAAGAAGCCACATGCCCCCGCAAGGAATGCCGGGCCTGGCGGGCGGGGGGCGGGCGTTGGGCTGGGCCGGGCCGGGGAGGCAGGGAGCGCCCCACCGCGAAGGTTGGTGAGAGTGAAGGGGCCGGCCCGCGCCCTCCTCGGCCCCCCGCGCCGCCCCTGCGTCCGGCCCGTGCGCGGCCCGGCCCGATCGCGACCTATCACACTTTCCCCGCCGACACGCGGACGGGACGACCCGCGGGCTCTGGGGCAGCAGCGGGGCAGGTCGGCCCAGCTGGGGCGGCCCCCGCCCCCCTCCGCGCGCCCCCCGTCCTCGCCGGCTCCGAGGAGGGGGCAGGCCGTCCTGTTTCCCCACACCCCTCTCTGCCGCCGCTGGCTTTGGGGCCCCGGTGGGGAGCAGGGGGCTGATTAGCCGAGGAGCAGGGGTGTGGCCAGCGGGGCCCTGAGTAGTGAGTCACACACGGTGCTCGCCCAGTCCCGGGGCCAGCGCGGTCCCAGCCCGAGCTGCGCGCTGCGCTGACCCGAAGAGTGTCCCTGGCTTGGCATGAGGACCCTGGGGTGCCGAGGGAGGGGCTGAAGCCCGGCGCTGTGGTGGAAGAGGGCGGTAAGCGGCAACTGGGGAGACTCCCCTAGAGAGAGCAGGGTGGAGCTTGGAGTCAGGGCCAGCCCACACCACGGGGACCCCCACGCCCCACCGGTACCTGCTCAGAGCTGGCGAAGCGGGCCTGGCTGCATTCCCTGCCAGCCCCAGGGCTAGGGGCTTGTCTGGAGGCACTGAGGGCCCCTTTCGTCAGCCTACTCCCCTTGGCCCCCGCTGGACTTGATTTGATCCCTCCTCAGCTCCCCACTGCAGATTTTCGTACAGAGGCTCCTGCGAGTTCCTCATACCCTTTGCCCTTTGATTTTGGGGTCCAGGCTGTGCTGTGCAGCCCTGTTTCCTGGCCTGAGCTGCCCCTGGCCCCTGACCCCATGGGGCTGGTGGCTCCAGTCGTCCCCAGGACCAGCCCGGGATAGAAATGGCATTTCCTCTTGGCCAGGCTACAGCTGTTTTTGTTGTCTGTGTTCTCAAGAGCTTCCTCTGGGGATGGCAGGGAGGGTAACCAGATTCCACGGGACCCCCAATTGCCCTCTCCACCACTCACCCCTCTTCCCCTGTCTCTTTGATCCTTTTCCTGTGCTGGTCCCGCCTTCCCATCCCCAGAACAGAATGACTGAGAACATGAAGGAGTGTTTGGCGCAGACCAAGGCAGCTGTGGGGGACATGGTGACCGTGGTGAAGACAGAAGTCTGCTCACCTCTCCGTGACCAGGAGTATGGCCAGCCCTGGTGAGGCCCCTGTGTGGGGACAGGAGAAGGAAAAGGGGGGAATGCCTGGCTGGGTTGGTCGGGTTGGTGGGAGACCCGGCGGAGAGTTCTCATTCCCTGCCCGCATTCCTTATGCTGCTCCGGGCAGCTCTTGGGGCCCGAGAGAAAACCAACAAGCAGTGGCCCAGCAGGCCTGGTCTCAGGACACCTCCCTCTCCACCTGTCTACTGACCTGATAGGCTGGCTGGGGCTCCTCCCCCTGCCCAGTAGTACCTGTGGGCTCCTGGCCAGGTCCTCAGCTTCTCTGCCCGTCACCCTCTCCGATGACTTCTTTGCTTTCTTTAATGGCCTCTGTCCTGGACAGTTCTAGGAGACCAGACCCCTCGGCCATGGAAGTGGAACCCAAGAAACTGAAGGGGAAGCGTGACCTCATCATGCCCAAAAGTTTCCAGCAAGTGGACTTCTGGTGTAAGTGGAGCTTGGGGCTATTTCCTGGGCTACTCCTCCCTTCACCCCCAATCCCCGACCCCATCTCGCTCAGGGAATTTGCAGGGCTAATACTAATGATAGGCCCTCATCTATTATGTACCAGACACAGGTTCGTGCCTCAGTTAATCCGCCCCATTAGCCATTGAGGTGGTTGTCATTGGTCCCATTTTCCAGGTCGGGAGACTGAGGCTTGGTGAAGATTAAGAACCCTGCCTCAGGTCCCGCAGCCCACGGATGCACAGTTGCATTCCAACCCAGATCTATCTGATTCCAGAGCATGCTCTTTCTTCTACTTTTTCAAACTTGAAACAAAGGCAGTTACTGGTTTCCTCGTTGGCAGGCATGTCCGTGAGCCCCCAGGGAAGATATTGGGTTATTGCTACTGAAGACTCAGGAGCCCGTAGCTGGCTGGGGTGGAGCCAGGGCTGGGCTCGGGGGTGCCAGGCAGAGCTTTCCACTGCCCTTGCTGGTCTCAGGGTGGGCTTCCCATCAGCCCTTCAGCCTCCTCCATGGGGGTCCTACCCCTCCCAACAACTGAGTTCCTCCTCTTTCCCTCCCTCCAGTCTGCGAGTCCTGTCAGGAGTACTTTGTGGATGAATGCCCGAAACATGGTCCCCCTGTGTTTGTATCCGACACACCGGTGCCTGTGGGCCTGCCAGACCGGGCCGCCCTCACCGTCCCGCAGGGCATGGAGGTGGTCAAGGACGCCAATGGGGAGAATGACGTGCGATGCATAAATGAGGTTATCCCCAAAGGCCACATCTTCGGCCCTTATGAGGGACAGATCTCCACCCAGGACAAATCAGCTGGCTTCTTCTCTTGGCTGGTGAGTGTCCCCTGGGCAGTGCCATGTGAGAGGGTGCCAACAAACATGGAAGGGAACCAGCAGGGGGAGCCATCTGCTGGCGCGGCCTTGCTCCGCCTGGCTCAAGAGCTTTTTGCCACCATTCCTGGACTGGTGGGTGATAAATCTTGCAGTCCCCTCGTGCTAGCTAAGGGGCTGCGACCCTTGGTGGCTGAGGGCCATGCTGAGCTCACCTGGCAGTAGTCAGCAGAATCCGTGGTGGAGCGATTGCCCTTTGAATCCTCCTTGTGGGTGTCTGGTGGGCCCTTTAGTGGCATTTACGAAAGGTTTGTGTACACCTTTCTCTGGAGCTGGTGACTTGGAGCTGGGGACTGTGGGGATGCAAAGCATGACATTCGGCTAAAAAAGCAGTCATGTTAGGTGCTGGGCTGGTTGCTGGAGGTAAAGCCTTCAATAAGACAGACAGGGTCCTGCCTCCAGGGAGTAGGGAGAGCAGGCGTTGAACAAGTACGTGCACATGCAGTCATTGCTATTGAAGGGGGCAGCAGGAGGCGGCAGTGTTCACAGTGTTCGGGGATTTGGGGTCTGGAGCCCAAGTTCATTATGTTACCCAGCTTTGCTTTTTACTGTCTACTTGACCGTGGATGAGTCATTTAACCTCTCTGTGCCTGTTCTGTAACAGGATAATCATAGTTGATGGTGAAGATTAAATAAGTCAAAACTATAAAGTTCTTAGAGTTTTGCCCTTAGTAAGTACTCAGAGAATATCAGCTGTTATTATTATTGTGCGCCTACACGAGGGTTTTGGGCAAGACTTTCTTTAGCCTGAGATTGGAAGAGTAGATAGCAGTAATAGAAGGGGATGGAAAAATGCTCCCTGGAGACAGAACAGCTGAGAGACGAATTCCGTGAAGTCCTGTGTGGCAACAGCAATGAGCCCCGGAGGCAGTGCGGCAAGGAAAGGGAGCCCGGGCCAGAGTAGCTCAGTGTGTAGAGCATGGGCCTGTGCACTGCAGGGTCACAGGTTCAATTCCCAGTCAAGGACACATACCTTGGTTGCAGGTTCAGTCCCCTCCTCAGGGCCTGTGGGGTATGTGTGGTATGGGAGGCAACCAGTTGATGTGTTTCTCTCGCAGCGATGTTTCTCTCTTTCTCTCCCCTTCCACTTGCTAAAAATCCTTACTGGAAAAAATATCCTTACTCCTTGGGTGAGGATTATAAAAATATATAAGAAAGAGAGAGAGAGAGGCAGGGACCAGATCCTGCTGCATCTCATAAGCCAGGGTCGGTGCATCGTCCCTCCTGTAGGCCAGGGGAAGCCATTGAAGCATTTCAAGCAGAGGTGTGACTCCAAGAATTGGGGTTCTAAGTGGGAAGCTGGGATGGGGGTTCAGGTAAGGAAAGATGGTGGTTTATATGCAGGTGCTAGAGGTGGGCATATTTGAGAGAGATTTAGGAGGGAGAATCTCCAAGATTTAGTGGTAGATGGCATATGGAGGTGAGGAAGGAGGGTTTTCAAAGATATAAAGAGGAAGAATTATCCTATCCGAGACAACTCTTAGAAGTCAAGCTTGAACAGAGATGGGGGATGTGGGACAGTAGAGAAAGGCAGGCTAGGGGGTAGGTAGGTCATTCATTATGCATTAATGATCTCCGTTGTGCCCAGTGATGGGCTCGCCCTGGGGTACAATGGTGGGCCTGATCAGACTTGGTTCGTGCCCTCATAGAGTTTACTGTAGCAAAGAGGGAATGGGTAAAAGAATAAAACAAATAAGTAGAAAATTAGGACTCTAAAAGGTAATGGAGAGAGTGGCTAAGAGAAAAGTGAACAACCACGAAAATTTACGTGGCCAGAGGTCAGGGAAGGCTTCCTAATAGTTGACTGCGATGGTAGGAAGAGAATACCCACCAGGTGAAGATTGATGAGGGTCTTCAAGAAACAGCATATGCAAAGCCCTGAGGCAAGAGAGAGCACAGCATTTTTGAGCAACAGGAAGAAGGCCAGTGTGCCTGGAGTGCAGCCAACACAGGGGCCTAGAGGAGATGATGAAGGCTTGGCGATTATAGAGCCCAGTGGTCCAAATTGGGACTTTTGTTCTTTAGTTTAAGGACAATCAGGAAAGTTTATTTGTTTTGAAAGGGTGACTTTGGCCACAGCATGGAGAACTGATGGGGGTGGTGAAGGCATTGGTCAAGAATGGATGCCCACACCCCGGTTAGGGTGCTGTGGTGATTCTCTGAGTCGACCATATCAGAGGCTTGGGCTCGGGTGGGAGCAGAGACATGGAGACCCGTGAAGTGGTTTGTGAACTGTTTTAAAGATGAAAGAGATTTGACTTGGAAATAAACTAATTGCCCTGAGTAAGGGAGAGGGAAGCGTCCAGAACAATCCCTGCAGTGTCCTCACCCCAGCTCAGGGGTGGCGCCTTTCTCTGAGGAATGGGAATTGCCAGAGGGGGACTGGGTTGAGGGAAGGATCTTGGTTTTGGACTTGTTGAGTTGGGGTGACATCAAGATATCCTAGTGACGATGTCACGTAGGCATTTTGACATGGGGGTTGAGAGCTTGGAAAGGAGGTATGGAAGTGTCCCTTCTGAAGTCACCTGTGCAGAAATGGTCAGAGAGGTCAGGGCGTGGAGGGCACCTCCAGGGAGAACAGGCTGAGTGAGACAGAGAGGGCTTATGACTTAGCTTTGAGGAACGTCGGCAGTTAGTGGTTCAGAAGGGTTGCTTAATCCTGGAAGGGAGACAGAGAAAGGGCAGCCTGCGGGGTAGGAGCCCAGAATGGCTAAGAGTGTCAGATTCTGCTGAGAAGCCAAGCAAGCGAAGGACTTAATAGTGTCCGTGGGATTCAGTGCCAGGGAAGTCATTGGTGACTTTAGCAAGAGCTGTTACTATAAGATAATGGTCCTCAATCTGGAGTAATTTGCTCCCCTCTCTCCCCACCCATGGGACATTTGGCAATGTCTGGAGACATTTCTGGCCATCCCAACTCAGGATGGGGCTACACCATGGGCATCTAGAAGGTAGAGGCCAGGATGCTGCTCAGTGTTTCATAGTGCACAGGCTCGCCTCCCGCAACAAAAAATGATCTGGCCTCAAATGCCAATAGGACTGCACGGGAGAACCCCTGCAGAAGAGTGATGAGATGGAAACCTTATTAGAATGGAGGTGAGCAGTAGAGTCACGTCTCAGATGACTGATTAGAGATAAGAAGCGAGGAGAGAGACAGGGCATAGGAAGGGTGATGGCTGGAGGGAGACATGGAGTCGAAAGAGTTTGTTCATGACAGACTTGAACATTCTTAAGGAGCCCAATGAAGGATTCTTAGAGTAGAGATAAGGCATGATGGATAAGCTTTTATATTGCCTGAGAATGTTCAGATGGAGACACTGGATAGGGAAGGAGGTGGGTTTGTTTTTCTGTCATGGGAGGAATAGCCTAGAGCAGCGGTTCTCAACCTGTGGGTCGCAACCCCTCTGGGGGTCAAACGACCCTTTCACAGGGGTCGCCTAAGACCATCGGAAAACACATATATAATTACATATTGTTTTTGTGATTAATCACTATGCTTTCATTATGTTCCATTTGTAACAATGAAAATACATCCTGCGTATCAGATATTTACATGACGATTCATAACAGTAATAAAATTACAGTTATGAAGTAGCAACAAAAATCATTTTATGGTTGGGGGTCACCACAACATGAGGAACTGTATTAAAGGGTCGTGGCATTAGGAAGGTTGAGAACCACTGTCCTAGAGGCTTGGAGCAGATGGAGGGGAGTAAGGATAGTTGGCCAGATAATGGCCCCCCCAAGGATGCCCATGTCCTGATCCCCAGAACCTGTGACTGTTATCTTACATAGCAGAAGGGACTTTCAGATGTGATTTAATTAAGGATCTTGAGATGGAGAAATTGTCTCGGATTACCTGGTGGCCCAGTGTAATCGCATGCATATTTGTAAGGGGAGGCAGGAGAGTCAGGGTCAGAGACCAAAGATGGGAAGATGCTCTCCTGGTGACCTTGAAGATACAGGAAGGAGCCAGGAGCCAAAGCCGGCAGGCAGCCTTTAAAAGCCGGGAAGTTCAAGGAAACACATTCTTTCTTGGAGCCTCCAGAAAGCACGCCGTCCTGCTCATATCTTGATTTTAGGACGTAGGATCTCCAGAACTGTGAGTTCAGGAATGTGTGTTGTTTTAAGCCACTGTGTTTGTAGTGGGTTGTCACAGCAGTGATAGGAAACTAAGCCAGTGGGCTTATGTGTTTGGGGGCCATCTGCTGAGACGTGTGGAGAGGTAGAGAGTGGTGGTCTGACACTGAGGAGAATGGAGAAGGCGAGTTCGGGTTGGGAGGAGTACAGTGGGAGGCGCCCAGCAGATGCCCAGGTGGAGCTGCCCAGAGGCTCACTGGTGTGTGTGGGCCCGCAGCCCAGGGAATATAGGGCAGTGATGGCGAACCTTTTGAGCTCGGCGTGTCAGCATTTTGAAAAACCCTAACTTAACTCTGGTGCCGTGTCACATATAGAAATTTTTTGATATTTGCAACCATAGTAAAACAAAGACTTATATTTTTGATATTTATTTTATATATTTAAATGCCATTTAACAAAGAAAAATCAACCAAAAAAATGAGTTCGCGTGTCACCTCTGACACACGTGTCATAGGTTCGCCATCACTGGTCTAGGGGAAACTAAGCAAATAAATGTATGCATTTATGCAACGGGAGCCCTGGGACAGGGTGGCCCTGGGGTCAGTGCTGTGGAGGGTGAGAAGCTTGAGGCCTGAGAGCGCATGTGGCTCCGGCAGCACACAGGTCCCGGTGTCCTTGGCAGGGGCAGTTTCACAGCAAAAGCCACATTGCTATGGACTGAGAGGTGAATGAGTGGGAGGCGGGAGAGGGGCCCAGTGAGGATGGCTGGCTTACTTTATAAGTCTGGCTGCTCACTGAGCAATGATTAAATGCCAACTGCGTACTACATTCCTCCTCACAGCAGTCTCACAGTGGGAGGTTGCTGC